TTTGGACAGCTCTATTGGGTTCTCTTAGACAAATATTGATGTCACTTATTCATACTATCACTAATGGATGTTTAGATTGTTTCTAATTTTTTTTTTTTTTTTTTACCATTAGATACTGCTGCAATAAACATCCATGGACCTGGATCCTTGTACAAACAGGTGTGTGAGAGCTCCTCTAGGGATCAGTGGGGGTGTAGTACCAGTGTCCGCACACTAGTGTGTTGCAGAATGATTAATTTTCTTAGCACACTTTTTTTGGCCACAGGGTTATAAGTTTCCTCTTTTTGGAACCACTAAAACAAATCTTTTGATGCTATAGAAAATCTTCTTGCCTGTTTCAGTAAGAAGACTTAGAAGTGTTACCATGACAAGATGCAGAGTCAGTATGCATGTATTTGTGGTAACCTTCACTCCCAGCTCCCAAACGAAGGGCAGTTGGGACTCCATTGTTTTGTGTTCTCAAAAGCACTTTTATCTTCCCAAGATTCCTGTTATTGATGACCAGGCTTCCAGTTTCAATTTAATTTTTTTAACTTTTTATTTTGAAAAAATTTTAGACTTACTGAAAAGTTGCAAAAATAACGTAGAGTGTTCCCATAAGCCCTTCACCTAACTTCGCCTGAGGTTAGCATTGTTATGTGTCCACAGTACAGTTATCAAACCGAACGTTGGTACAGAAGCATTAACTAAACGACTTTATTTGGATGTGCCCATTTTCCCTTAATGTCTCTTTCTGTTCCAGGGTCCCATCCAGGGTCCTAGGTTGTATTGCAGTTAGTTGTCACGTTACCTCAACTACCTCTGTTTTGTGACCCGTGTCTTGGTCTTCCCTTGTTTTTCATGACCTGGACATTCTTAAGGAGTACTTGATAGTTATCCTGCAGACAATCCCCCAATCTGGGTTTGTCTGGTGTTCTGCTCACGATTAGATTGGGGTTATGGGTTTTTGGAAAGAACACCTTGCAGAGCGAAGTGCCTGTCTCATCGTATGAGATGGCGGGGGTACATGATGGCCCCATGACATCACTGGTGATATTAACCTCCATCACTCGGGTAATGTTGGGTTTGCCAGATTTCTCCACCGCAAAGTTACTTTTCCCTTTCCCTATTCTGTCCTTTGGAATTGAGTCTCTAGGTCTGGCCTAACCTTGATGGGGAGGAAGTAGGGATCAAGTTCCACGTCCTGGAGTGAGGGTATCAACAGGTATTGTTTGAAATTCTTCTGTAAGGAATATTTGTCACTTCTCCCCTATTTATTTGTTTATTCAATTATTCATTTAGACAGTATGGACTTGCAGAGTTATTTTGTACTTTGGGTCAATATGCCAATGTTGCATTGCTTAGTTCATGATTCAGATTGTTCTGGATTTGGCCACTGGGAGCCCTTTCAGCTTGGTTCCCACATCCCTTTGACATGGCCTGTCCTTTCGTTCTTTTGATCACTTCCTTACTTTTTTTTTTTTTAAGATTTTATTTATTTATTTGACAGAGAGAGACACAGCGAGAGAGGGAACACAAGCGGGGGGGAGGGGGTGGGAGAGGGAGAAGCCGGCTTCCTGCCGAGCAGGGAGCCCGATGCGGGGCTCGATCCCGGGACCCTGGGATCATGACCTGAGCCGAAGGCAGACGCTTAACGACTGAGCCACCCAGGCGCCCCAGATCACTTCCTTACTTAATTCCACTAAGCTTAGCCTCCATCAGTGGCTGTTGCCTGTGACAGTTATGTCTGTAGTGTCCTAATGGTGATTTTCTACTTCCCCCCTCACTTCAATCAAGATAAATGAAAGGTACTTAGGATTTATTGTTTTTTTCTTTTACACAGGCTTTGATTCCTCTCCCTAATTGCAAAAATTGAATGTATTCCCCCCAAAATATGGGACTCTAAAAGAGACCTGGGCTTGAATTTCCATCCTGACACTTCGGGCTATTTGGCGTTAGGCTTCTCTGAGCCTTCCATTTCCTTTGTATCACAGAGGTCTAAATACCCACCTAATAAAATTATCAGAAGGTCTAAATGAATGATTGCATTTAAGTTCTTAATACCAAGGAAGGCGGGTATTGTCATCCTTGCTTGCACCAACACTGTTACTGCCCCACACGACCTCCAGAGCCTGTTTTCTAACATGCAAACTCTGATGATGTCCCGACAGTGCTCAGCTTTGTCCGCAGCTGCTTGGCGCCGTCAGCGGTGTTTTCTGAGCCTGGCTTTTGACCAGAATCAAATGAGGAACTTTGAAAGCCGTAGGTTAATTCAGTCTTACTGACGTGGATTTTGGTGGGGTAGGTCCAGCCCTTATCTGTATTCTGGAGAGGTGAGCCCGGGGGTTCACCACAGTAGGCGTGAGTCTGGGGCCAGGTCCAAAGGCTAACAGTGGTTGTCACTCGGGAGCTGCTGACAGTAGTCAAGAGAGGATCCCTGCCCCTGACCTTGAGACTGCAAGGTAGTGCCAACGCGTGAGATGAGGAGTCAGGCTAATAATTTCTAGATATTCCACTTAGCCATACGTGTCCTCCCGCTTGGTCAGCTGCCTTTTAGAGAGAGAGTCTGTTCTTGGAGAACTTTTTCATTTAAAAAGTGCACAAAGACTACTTTTCTGGTGGGAACAAATAGAATGATTATTGTATGCCCTTTCTCTAATACCACCTTGGACTCCTTTTCACCTTCAACTTGCCAGAGCGCTCTCTCTCTCTCTCTCTCTTTCTTTGATTCAATACACATAGATATATTACAAAATGATTACCCCAATCACCTCCATAATTACTGTTTTGGGTTTTTGTGTGTGTGTGTGTGTGTGTGGTGATAACACTGAAGATGTACTCTCTTAACAACTTTCAAGTATATGATGCAATATAGTCACCATACTGTACATTAGATCCTGGAACTTATATATCTCACAACTGGCAGTTTGTATCCAACATCTCCCCATTTCCCCCACCCCTCAAACCCCGGCTACCACTGTTCTACTCTCTGTTTCTATGGTTTTGGTTTTTTTTTTTTTAGATCCCACACACAAGTGAGAACATAAGAGTATCTGTCTTTCTCTGTCTGACTTACTTTGCTTAGCAAAACGCCCTCAAGGTGCATCCGTATTGTTGCAAGTGGCAGGATTTCCTTCTTTCTCATGGCTAAATAATATCCTATTGTATATATATACACCATGTCTTCTTTATCCATCATCTGTCGATGGACCCTTAGGTTGTTTCCATCTATTGGTTATTGTGAATAATACTGCAGTAAACACGGGGGTGCAGCTAGCTCTTTGGGAAAGTGATTTTATTTCCTTCTCTATATCCTCACCAACGCTTGTTATTTTTCATCTTTCTGAGGCTAGCCATTCTGATAGGTGTGAGGTGATAGCTCATTGTGGTTTTGATTTGCATTTCCCTGATGATGAGTGGCATTGAGCATCTTTTTATGTACCTGTTGGCCATCTGGATGTCTTCTTTGGAAAAATGACTATCCAGGTCCTTAGCTGGGAAGGACCTGGAAGCTTCTGACACTTTTCAGAGGAGAAACCTGACGCATGGAAAGGCAACTTTCTCAGAATCACACAGTTGCATAATGCCAGAAGCCAGGCCATGGAATCCTGTCTTCTGTTTGCAAGCCTTCGGTTCTTTTCTTCCACGTCATCTTCCTCTCCATGGAGGCGAGGCCCCAGAGTGCTGACAGATCTGGGCAACACACTCCTGAGAGCTCATGCATGTCACTAGCAAGACCTGGAACAGCTCTCAACACAAAGGTGGTTCCAGATCCTGGAGGAGATTTTCTGTTTTTCTGCATTGTCTGGGTTAAACCACTGTGACAAATGACCTTATAGCATTGTCAACCTTTGAAAAACAAGTAGCAAGAAGAACTCATTCTGAAGTATTAGGTGCTGATAACCACTTCCAAACAAGATCCTCCAGATAACAAACACATAGACTTTGGACCACAAGACCTGGGGCAGTTAATATTAACCACATTTTCTGATCTATTGTCTTTTAGCTTTTATTTCCAATCTTTCCCAGGCCAGAAGGTAAAAGATTAGGAGGAGTCTTATTGTAGGCAATGCTGGGATTTGGTTTGAATTCTATCCTATACGTTTCTTTCTTTTCTCGTATGTTGGTATGTATATTAAAGGGGCTTATTTACAATAAGTTATTGACCTAAAACTTTAAGAGAAATTGTATACACATGATCATAAAACAATAAGATCATCATAAAACAAGATAGGCCACATCACCAGTGTCCCCACCCAGACACGTCCCAGCAGTGCCAGTGGGGCCTTTGCGAGCCTCTGAGGACCCGTGGACTCAGGGAGATGTAATCTGCTCAGGTTGTTGAGGGAGATGAGGAGTGAAGCAGAGGAAAGTGGATACCCCATGTATGCTCATTCTTAAAATTTGGGGTCCTTACCTTTCCCCAAGTGAGCCCAGGCCGCCCCTCCCCCAAAGGGCGAGAACCACCTCCTCCTGCAGATGGGTTTGGACACCAGCAACTTGAAAAACAGGACAATAAACACTGTAGATAGATGCATAGGGGAAAAAAAGTAAGTGGCTAAGACCTAGACAACTAATTTGCTTTTAAATGTGATGGTGACAGAGACACTGCCGAAAAGTTCACAAATGTGCCCACCTAATTTTATCATCTCTTGTTTCTACCCTGGATGAAGAGGTTCGTGTTACTAAATTTTTAAGTGAAAAAGTCAGTCAGAGAGTTTAAATTGGGCAGAGGCACAGGATAGCAGCAAATTAAGATTGTCCTTTTCTTGCGCCCCACCCCTTTGGTTAGCCCGACAGCAAAGTTAGTGTGGGCTTCCGTCATCTTCTAAAATTCTACCTCTCTGTGGGTGCCTGTATTTCTGGAACACTCACCCAAAATAATAAGATCGCCCTGTCTCCCCTGGTGTTGATTCTGGGCTGTGTGGGGACCCGGCTTCTCCGAAGGAGTTGGTCTCCGGACTTTCTAGTAAAGGATGAGCATAGATGTTTTTAAAAGGGGGTGCTGTACCTTTAAATTCTGAAAGTGAACTTGGCTCAGGAAGGCCAGCAGTCAAGGTCCAGCCCCTAGAAGAGAGAATAGCTCCAGATTCTCCATCCTCGGTCTTTGCAAGAGGAGGGCTGGCACAGCCGGGCGGGCGGGCTCCTGGCAGTATGGCAGTGAAGCTCAGGGCCCTCCTGCTGGTGCTCGCGCTCGGCCTGGCGCAGCCAGCCACTGCCGGCCGGAAGCTTCTGGTGTTTCTGCTGGATGGTTTTCGCTCAGACTACATCAGTGATGAGGCCCTGGAGTCCTTGCCTGGTTTCAAAGAGATCGTGAGCCGGGGAGTAAAAGTGGATTACTTGACCCCCGACTTTCCCAGTCTCTCTTACCCCAATTACTACACCCTAATGACTGGTGAGTACTGTGTCCTCTTCTGGGTGGTGTGGGGGGCGGGGACTGGAGTCCAACAGGGAACAGCTCCTGGCAGTGAAGTCTGATTTAAACGTTCAGGTTTCCCTAGCTCTTTGGGACACCAAAGTTCTTGGCTGAGACTTCTTTTTCACAGTAGTGTTGTTCTCCAAAAGTTATCTCAAGGATCTGTTTTGGTGAGGAGAACAGAGAACTACACGAATAGATGATGGTAAAAGTCATTATTTGTTTCACAAATAAAAATTCTAGTTAACTCCGTACTTTCTAAGTTCAAGCTAAAAAGTCAACAGGTCTTCATGTATTTGTACCGAATTCCTTCTGTCCCTTTGCTCTGCAGTCATCTGTCATCCTGGAGGTGTTTTGGCTTGTTTATCAATGTGCTAGACTATGAAAATTACGAATGGGATTCCTGGATTGCGTGGAGAGAATTTGTAGGTCATATCCTGAAGTATTACTTCTCAATGCCACTTGCCCTTCTTTTGCCTTCTTGGGCCAAGTAAAATGACATGGAGGAGAAAAAAAATTGTTTTGTAGTTCAGATTCCCATCTTTAACTTTTAGTATCTGTTAAAACAAAACAAAACAAAACAAAACAAAACAAAACCAAACCAAACCCTAGCCAACCAGAGCACGCTTGGGTTTGGGAAGCTGATTTTTGCCTAAAAATGATCTTCATCAGGGATCGCCAGAACGCCAAATGTGATTCCACAAATTCAGTCCTCTCTCTGTGCTATAGAACATACTTTCTGCTCTCACAGTTGGATTCCCAGCTTCCAGTTTGTTTTTTAGCTAACCTTTGTAAGGGCCAGCAAGAGGCTCTCAGAAAGAATTTAGCAAACTGTCCAGGGAGGCTGTTAAGAATGCGCTGTTATTGCTGCTTATGCAGGACTTAGCTACGTGCTCCGAGCACAGGGAAAACTCTATAAATTATCTTAACAGGAAGAGGGTGAGAACTCTTGGATCTCATTATGGATCTCCACACAGAGGCAAACCCAAAGGAGTCTAGAAAGACAAATTGATATCTCTGACTTCATGCGTGGGTACTGGATGCATGTGTACATAAAAATGCCATAAAATTAAGGTGGGGGAGATACTTCGGAGAATTAGAAATGAGAGCATGGGGAGAAAAAAATCCACACGGCACAAAGGCAAAGAATTCACTTGCTTATTTTTTAATTTCCCCCAACAAATAAACAAGCAGCCTCTGTAAGATAAAGAAGATGAACAAAAGTCCTCTCGTCCTCACTTGGCATGCTTCTCCCCTTGCAGGGAGCTGGTTCGCAGGCTGCTGGGTCCCACACAGATGTTATTGTGTGTCACAGCCTGACTTCAGTTCTGTCCCGTGGAGTTTCGCACCCCCAGACCACCCCCACTCCAGTTGTCTTTCAGAGCTCTGGCTGGGAGACCCAATTCATAAAGTGCCACGTGCAGTTTTCTCCGTTCCCAGTGGAAAAATGAACAAAATCCATTTTAGAAAGCCGGGCTCCAGTGAGTAAAAGGGGACCATGACAGCCTCCACAGAGAAACCAAGCCAGTGGCATGGCCTTTTGATTGTCAGACCCACACTCCTGATATTGGCACAAGGAATAAATGGCACAGAGCGTCAGTCACGCAGTGACACACTTTCTTCTCAGGCTAGGGGTGTTTTCACTTGTCTACTCATGATGGAAGAGCCCTTTCCATGGTGGGACAGGCAGAGCCCATGAGTGTCTGGCAATGATCTCCCCTTCATGGTCAAACTGAGGCTAGCCTGAGGAAGCCACAAGAGCTCCATATGCATTCTGCCTGAATATTTTTAGATGGTAAGATGTATTATTTGAAAGGCTTACTTACGTTGGCTTTCTCTCTTTTATAGAAGCAGTATTTTTTAAAAGATTTATTTATTTATTTGAGAGAGAGCACAAGCGGGAGGGGCAGAGGGAGAAGGAGAGAGAATCTCAAGCAGACTCTGCACTGAGTGCGGAGCCCCACATGGGACTCGATCTCATGACCCTGAGATTACCGCCTGAGCTGAAACCAAGAGTCGGATGCCTAACCGACTGCACTACCCAGGCGCCCCTATGGAAGCAATATTGTACACAGAATGGCTCATGTTCATGCGCACATGTCTTTGGGTTTGTATCGTACCTACTGAGGGAAAGTATGGCTTGGAGCTGGACTGGGGGCCACGAGGTGCTAGACCATGAAGCTGGTATCATCTCCATTGCCCTGGAACTGACTCAGGGCTACATTTAGACTTTTCCTCCCAATAGCCATGCTTAGTTTTCCACTTGATGTTGAAAAATTCCTCTGTTTTCATTTAAGGAAGGATATATCCTTTGGGAATTGTACTTAAACATATGGTTTGAGCATTTGAGCATTTTATGAATCGACAAAAGAAGCACGCTGGATCCTTTTGGTACTAAAAGATATACTGTTATAAGGGTCATCGGAATTCCTAAGAGAGACTATGATCTCACTTCATTACATGAATTACTGCTCACAAGACATAAAGCCTTTGGTGTTCTTATCTTTGCATAATGAGGAATACTAGGTTATTGGCCTTGGAGCTGGAAAAACTTGGCTGGAGTCCTCTTGGGGTCAGGATGGTGCTGGACAACCTCGGGCAGCCCAGTGCAGTGCCCTGAGCCTCTTCCCTCAGTTTCCAGGTCCCAAGTTAGGCCAGGATCTCAGGTGCTGCCAGAGGCAGACATGAAAATGAGCAGTGCGTAGGGAATTAGAAAATGTTAAGACTGGCAACTCTCGGGAGGCCTCAATATAAGAAACAAAACAAAATCAAAAACTAATGATGTAATGTATGGTGATTAACATAACAATAAAAAATTATTAAAAAAAAGAAACAAAACAAATGACTGAAATTCTAGAGAGGAGAATTTTTTGGGAAGCCACATGGACAGTGATGGAGACTGAACAGTCACAGGATGCATAAGGAACCTGGGAAATCATCTAGCCCAGTCACTGACATGAAGCCCCTGCAGCTGATTTTTTTTTTCTCCTTCAAAATATATATTGACATCAGGACAAATGTGAACAAAATCTCAAAAGTGATCAAGAAGATCCTTCAAACAACTGATTGCTGGGGATACACAGAATCTTAAAACAGGGTCTTTCATCCGGGGAGCCCACAGTCAAGTTGAGAAGGAGAGACACATCAGGTACCTACTGATGTTCTAAGATGCATGAAAAGGGCTGAATTGTTTCCCTCCAGAATTTATGTATTGAAGTCCCAACCCCTAGTAGCTCAGAATGTAATGTATACAGTAAAGACTGTAAAGATACAGTCTTTAAAGAGGTGAGTAAGTTGAAGTGAGGCTGTTAAAGAGGGCCCAATCCAAGCTGACTGATGTCCTTTCAAAAGAGGAAGAGACACCAAGAAGAAATGTACTCAGAGAAAAGGCCATGTGAGGAAACGGTGAGAAGGCACCATCTGCAAGCCAAGGAGAGAGGCCTCACCAGAAATGAAACCTGCTGGCACCTTGACCTTGGAGTTCTGGAGGCTGGTGATCGGAAATCAAGGTGTTGGCAGAGCCATGCTCTCTTGGGAAACTCCAGGGGAGAATCTCTTTCATGATTTTCTCTTAGCTTCTAGTGTTACCAGCAATCCTTGATATTCCCTGGCCTGTAGATGCATTGATGTCTTACTCTAGTCTCTGCCTCTGTTGTCTCACGGTGTTCTCCCTGTGTATCTCTGTGTCTCTTCTCTTCTTACAAGGACACCAGTTATATTGGATTAGGGCCCATCCTAATGACTTCATTTTAACTTGAATACATCTGCAAACACCTTGGCTCCAAATAAGGTCACAGTCACAAGTACTACGGGATAGAACGTCAACATGGTTTGGGGGAACACAATTCAACCCTTAACACATGGTAGAGTGGAAAGAGCTGTGAATTTGTTGCAGAAGACCTGATTTCATCTGTTCTGTCACCTCTTACCTTTCAGAATTTGAGTAAGTTCTTTGAATATTATCTGTCAGTAGAATGGAGAAAGGAAAACTAACCCAGCAGGCTTGTTGGAGGACAGAATGGGACACCTCATGTAAAGCCACCATTATAAAACCTGAACCTATTATGCACTTTATCACTAAGATTAGGCTAAATTATGTTGTAGTAACAAGCTGTATCAGAGGTTTACAACCAAGGTTTATCTCTCACTCATGTACGTGGACCTTAAGGTCTAACTCTGCCCCATTTCCTCTTCATTTTGAGACCCAGGCTGAAAAAGCAACTTCTATATGAGACGTGCTGCTCACCTGGCTAAGGGAAAAGGAACATGGCAGAATGATGTGGCAATGCTTAGAACCTCTGCTCAGAGTGGCACAAGTCACATCCCCTCATTCCATTGGCCAAAGCAAATTATGTTGCCAAGCTTGATGCCAGTAGGTCAGGGATGCATAATCCTCTCACAGTGGAGACAGGAATTGCCTGGAACATTAATGCAGTGTATCACACACACCGAACGGGTACTAGTTGCATTTTATAGGAAGCTTGTGGGGCTTTGTGAGAAGGAATGGCATAGAGGTAAGTGTCCGCAATGCAGGGGAGGGAAGTATTATTGGGAGTTACACTGGGCTTGAACATTTCCATTTAGTTCCATCTAGAACTAAACATTGAAAGATGAGTGGAAAGATTTTTAGCAGGAGATGTATTTTAGGCCAGATCTTAAGAAAAAAACAGAAAAGAAAGAAATCCATGAAGTCTGCGAGATGTGAGGGCCACAGTACAAGCAAATCAGAGAGGCAGAACAAGGCAGGTGAAGGGGCACTAAACCTATTCACCACCTGGGTGTGGGTTGAAGGGCTAGAGGTGAATTTGGAGGAAAAAAAAAAAAAGTCATGCAGTTGATGGAAGGCTCTGAAAGCTGAATTGAAAATAACCCAGTAAGCTCCTCCTTTCTTCCTCTTCCGCTTCAAACGTTCAAGCATCTATCCTTCGTGATGGACTGTAAGGGAGGAGCTGAATTTGAAGAGCAGCTTGGAGGCAGCA